GGGTGGGAGGCCCTCTCAGCTGGCCATTCTCCCTCCTCAGTGCCTGGGAGCCAGGACACCTGGCTTCTGGCCTTGGCTCTGCCATGTGCTATATGACCTTGAGCTAGAAACCAACTCTCTCTGGGCCTCTGGATTGGGCTGGAGGAGCCCCAAATCCTCCAGCATTCAGACTTGATCACATCATGGCCCACAGTTTTGGGGAGCTCACCAGGGCCTGGGTTTTGTTCCCCTGGCTCCAGCCTCTTGAAAGGCCCTCCCTTGTCATGACATCAGAGTAGGAAGCCTCTGGTCCTCTGGTCCAAAGTGTCCACTCTTCCCCTAGTTCACTGAATTCCTAGGGTGAATGGGGGGCATTTTGTAATAGAAATATGATAGAACTGTCAAAATTTTGAAAGAAGTTGGAAGACTTCTTTTCTCTATCTAGGGTAAACAAAAATCCACATAATTTAATCCAGACAGAAAAGAAAAAAAAGGAAAATGAGCACATTTCAGAATAAAAGTATCCCCCCCCCCACTATTTTTTGGATGCTTCTCTTCCTCTCTGTCCTTCCCTCTCCCTCCCCCCTCCCTCTCCATCCCCCTCCCCTCCCCCTCCCCCCTCTCACTCCCTCTACTTCTGATTTCTGCTCTGCTTCCCATCACCCCTTGTTCCCCAGAGACACTGGCTAGAATTGTAGGTGTCCCAGAGTAAGGAGAAATCATCATGCCCTGGTGGCCAATGACAATTCAGCACCTTGGCCAGCACACCACCCCTCCCCCGACCTCACCACTCCTGGCTACCTGCATTTAAGTCTGTGACATGGTCCTTTGCGATGGACATTCTGGTGGAGCATTTGAGGCTAGTGAACAGGGCAAGACTCAGGCAGGAGGGGAAGAAGCCAGGAATTCTGCCCAGGTGTGAGCAGTCAGCCTCCCAGGATGTCCTCTCTGGCAGGAGGGAAGGCCCATCCCTAGAGCCCCTGAGCTGAGACTGTGCTGTCAAGAGACCTTATTTCCTCTCTCCATCTTCTTCTCCTTCTCTCTCTCTCTCTCTTTTCCCCCACCCCACGTTGGGCCCTCTCCCCCTCTCCCTTTCAAAGCTGAGCTAACGGGAGGCTGTTTAACTTCACTGTTTCTATAGGAGCCTGTTGTAGTTTAACTCCTGCACACCAGTAGCTGAGATGAACAAAGGAGAGACTCGAGGTCCAACTATTCATCCTTTCTTTGCACTTTAAAAAAAAAGAAAAAAACACACAAAAAAGAGACCTTATCTCTGTTTTTTGTTCCTGCTGCCTGCTGCCACCCCAGAGAGAAAGACCCAGAGCTAATGGCCTTGTTAGGTGCTGAGCAGGCCAAGCCCTGGGGCCAACATTAGACTTAGAGAATCCTGGATTCTCTAATCCTGGATCATTAACATCGTTCATCGATCATTAACATCGTTAACTTGGCAGTCAGTTAACTAGATCCCTAGCCCCTCTCTATAGAGATGGAGAAACAGAGGTCGAGGAAGGGAGAGGGACCCGCTCAGGGTCACATAGTGCCTTCATGAGTTCACCTCTGACCTGGGAAGTACATGAGGCGGAGCCTGCAGATGAGACTTGACTCACAATTGTGTAATTTTTTTTTTTTTTTATGGCAACGAATGTTAACTACATTTATTATGGTGATCATTTTGCAATATATACAAACTTTGAATCATTATGTTGTACACCTGAAAGTAATATAATGTTTTATGTCAATTATACATCAATGAAAAAATAGTTGGTTTCTCAACCTCATGACAACTTGGTTTAATAATCTTAACTATTGGCATGAATCGACTATACCTAACATTTTAAAATGTCTGTACATGAGCAATCTTTTTTTTTTTTTT